AATATTTCATCTAAAATAGTTGCCTACTGGTCTCACTTTCTCACATTATTTTTGCGACTTTAGTTAGTGAAATCTTTCATTGGGCTTTAATATTTTGTAAGCTCCATTTGCTTAGGTTGTTCCTGTTGCTTCAATGTTGACACCTAATCAGTTTGAAGCAGAACTTTTGACTGGCATCAGGTAATCATCGCATCTAATTGATACTTAAGGCATGCAGTCTGATTTAATTTTCTACTTGTAATTGTTGCAATATCCCTTACACTCCCTAAGCACACTTCGCTTATCACAGGATTGTATCCGAACAAGATGGACGTGAAGCTTGTAATAGACTACACACTGCTGGACCCCCAAAGGTTTACATAGCTTTAACTTAGAGAATTAAATCTAGATCTTTGTTAAAACTTGTGTACACATGCTACATAGTTGTGTTGCTTTTTATTAACATGCAATTTAGTAGCTTTGTTTCGGAGAATGCTCGAAGGATAAAGAATATATTTTACAGCTTGCTACTTTCCTGAGATGATAATTTGGAGAAGAAACTTCTTCCATTATTTGCTTTATAGAGACTGAAAAAAAAGCTTTTTTTTAAAAAAAAAAAAATCTTTCCAACTAAATGGATTAGTTGGAGCAGGTAAGCACTTTCTTTTTGAATTGTTCAATCCTAGTAATGCCTGAGCAGTACTTCATATTCTGTTGTAATGCATATTTCTTTCTCCTGATTTTTCTCTTTTCAACAAACATTGGGTGTGTTTGGATTGCAAGAGTTTCAAATAAAAATTTCAAATTTCGTTTTGCTTGCATCATACACACAATTTCCAACCATCTTTTTATCTCACATACATCATATCACAAAAATGCTACAGTAATTATTTCAAATAGCTTCCTATCTAAACAAACTCATTATCTTTTACAAAATTTGATAAGAGTTAGCGACACACACTCTTTTCTCCGCTTTATTGTATGTCTATTTGAAATTGTGTGAATTTATCAGTTTATAGAAATTCATCAAGAGTGTTGTATGTCTCTATGCATGTATACAACCACCCATAGGGACACATTTATTGATGCATATGTAGTCAGTTACCCACTGTAGGGCTTTTGTCTAATGCCTTTCATATGCTACCCTTTCCTTTGACCATTTCTTCCTGCTTTTATTGTGTTTGGGAGGGGTAATTTTTTGTAATTGGAAATCACTAGCTATGCTTTGTGGAAACTCATAAGAAATAATTGACTTTTTGATCAGTTAAAACACAATTCACATACAAAGAAGTTACAAATCAATCTGACATGCATGTATTTTCGTGTTAAAAAAAATATATATTTTACCACTCAAGATCTATATAAGATTATGTCATAATCTTTTGTGCAAAATTCTATAACATTCAAGCTCTTGGCCTGTATCAGGTTGTGATAACAAGCATGAACATGGACGGGAATCTTATTCTTATTGGCAGTCATAGAAAAGAGAAGGTGAGGACGGACTTTTTTATGATGATATGTACAAGGTCTATAGCTCTGTGCCAGTCGATGCTATAGTGATTTAGGATGAGAACCTGGTTAATTTCTCTTGTTATTCGATTTGCTAGTTCTCATTCATTATGGACCTTGATGGAAAATATGAATGTAGAGAGCTGGAAGTTTATCTTTTCTCCATATTTCTTGGTGTCATTCTTTGGATGAATTTTTCCTTCACTAGGAATTTTATGTGGCGGTTCAGAGTAAGATCACTATGCACTTATTCGTATTTGCTTGGCACTTGATTGTGATAGGCCCTGCCTCCTGAGCAGTTCAAGATTGCGATACCCAAAATTCCTGCATATTTCACGGTATGCATCAGTTTCTTGTTAATCTATCTTTTGACAGGTTTATCCATGAAGTACTTGAGTTGCTCAAAAAGTTGTTATGGATGAGGCTACAACCCATAATTTCTTGATGAATATGAATACTAAAACTGAGAATAAAGTGTAACTGAATATGATTTTTGATCTAATTGATCTATGTAAAGGAATAAGGAAATAACAGTACTCATCTGATCACAACAGAGTTGTTTCATCGCAGAAAGAACTCAAACTCATGGTAACCATTCACACTTGGAAAGCCAGTTTGCGAAGTTGCTAGAAGATTTAACTATAAGACATTGGAAACTGTAGGTAGACGGGTCTGAGAAAGACCATAAATTCAAAGTTGGTTCGAGAAACCTTAATATCCCCATTTTCAATGAATGGGATACAAATCTTTAGACATGGTCTGTGCTAGATTGTGCTGGAACTATATTCTGAACCATAATGCTAATTTGTTCATGTTTGTTTGTTTGGTCTGAACTCTGTGTTAATAAACACATTTAATGTTTTTGAGCTGCTGGGTGATGTGGACAAATTTGAGATGTCACGGCATTTGTGAATTTGTTTTCTTCGACCTTAAGTTGGATTTAGAGCTCTCTCGTTTTCATTATGTAATCACTTTCTTGCAGGGAACTGGAGATCTAATGACTGCATTGTTACTTGGATGGAGCAATGTAATATTTAGTTACCTAAATCGAATCCTTTACCGTATTTCTTCCATAATTGTTTGTTTCTGATTTTAACTTGTTTTTATATTATTAGAGATACCCTGACAATCTTGAGAAAGCAGCAGAGTTGGCTGTATCAAGCTTACAGGTATCAATCTAGGTGCTGCTACCTTTTGCATTTTAATAATTTGGTGGTATATGAACTGCTGATGCTCCGTAACACAAGCGAAAACACCCAAAGCTGGATAAATAAATAAATAATTATGTTAGCCTTGTACAATACTTATCTGGATTGTAAAAAGGCATTTTTCCTTGGATACTTTATTTTTTGCAACTTGATTATTAGGTTATTGTTTTATCTTTCTACAGGCACTTCTTGTGAGAACATTAAATGATTATCGAAGGGCTGGATATGATTGCCAATCAAGCAGTTTGGAGATTCGGTTAATTCAGAGTCAAGATGACATTCGAAACCCAGAAGCCAAATACAAGGCAGAAAGATACAATTGAATGGATGTAAGAATGGAGATTTATTCTGGGACCATTCTGATGGATACAGGAGCCGTTAACGGTACCAAGTCATTGCAGTAAAAAAGAAAAAATTGTAAGCTTGATATATCACAGAAGGAAGGCTTGCCAAACTTGAATGGCTTATGCCAGCACAAAAATAAATGAAGTGTCTAAAAGATCTTCTGGAAATAAACAAGATGGAACACTACCTGCCAATGTGAACAAGTCGAGAACATGATGGAATCTTCCTCTTTTGATTGTCTCAATGAGTATCCAGTGGAATCTCTGACTGGGTTTTGTGGCTAACCTACCACACGTTATACGAACATGAATATGAGGAAAAACCGAAAGATGAACAAGTCGAAATGATTGGTGATGAAGAAAATCATAGGTAGGGTAGCTTTCAGGAGATTAATGAATGACCTTCTCTCCTTTCACTTTGAAAGCAACTCTTCAATACTACATTCCAAACAATGTGCATGTTATGATTCTATTTTAAAACTAAAAGAAAGTTGAGATTGCGAGCCCATTTTTGTCTATGGAATAGCTAAATTCTAATCTAAAGTCGTGATCACATTCGCCTGAAAAACTGTCTAACAATGCAGTTGCAGGCAGGATTATGTGGGACTCTGAATCAGTTGCTGAAGTAACACGTCCGCGGAGCATGCTAAAATTGCTTCATGGGTGAGAACGGGCCTGAAACATGTTTTCCTAAGAACTAAGAAGGCCGTCAATTTCGGTCTGGTCCCATAGTCGGTGCAAACTTTTTTATCTGCCAGCCGGATGATTGATCATAGTTTTGATATCATATTAATTGCCCTTTTTATTTTTTAATTTTGTTGGTCAAGTAATATGTAACTTTTGGACATATTACACTAATCATTTACTTTCTTAACCTATAGAAAAGGAGAAGTTCTATCATGCCTTTTGAGTACCATACTGATAAATATATATATATTTTTAAGAACATATTGATAAATATCAATTCTCTGTTAGATGTGTAAAAAGAGATATCAACTCTAAAAACAATTTCAAGAGTTTGAACTGTAGCAAAACATAATATTCAAAAGAGATCGTAAAATCCTTATACTATATAAGAATGAGTTGTGGTTAACGGGAAGTTTGAATTTCAACTGCATGGATAGGGATATTTTGGAAATGTGAAATGTTGTGTAAGTTTTTTAAAACTTTTGTTATAATTGAAGGCACCATGTATTTAGGTATATTTACCAAAATACCCTCATTTTTGTACATTTAAAACTTTGATTTATGAAGACATTTGGGTATTTTTGGAATATGAAATTATTTTGCAACCCTTTTTACATCGAATATAACTCATATAAGCTTATGTATTGGTGTAATTATTGAAATGGTGTTATAGACACATTTAATTGAAGTGTGATTTTTATTGTGCAATTAACACAAAGACATATAAACATGTTGTGCAATAACTAGTTGGAGGGTATTCCTTTGTTTAAAACAACTTATGTCTCCTCTTTGGTAATTTTCAACTGACATCTGTAGAGGTCTTTTGGATATAGTAAAATTATAAAAGCATTAATAAAGCAAAATATACAAGTATGTGCTACAATTAGAATGTACTATTATTAGATTTGTCATATTTGATGACTACTTTTTTTAAATGTATTATTATTTGTTCAATGAAAAATTCTCTTTAACCACATACACCAAACACCCGCCCGATACATGGTACTTCTCACCTAGTTTTCCGTAGAAAAAGAACATATCTCAAGGACATAAATAGCAATATAGGAGCAAAAGTTTTGTAGAGTCAGAACATGAACTATTTTGCTTTACTGTTTTGACCAAGGCAAATAAATCAAGTCGACTCACGAGTTACATTACAACTCGACTCGTCAAGCTCGATTAAATTCTTATTCTCTAGACTCAACCGATAACCAGAAGGCGCAACATTAAAACAGGAGCGCCTAACATTGTGCGCACGCCTTTACCTGAAACGATGATACAGAAAATAGACGAAAAAAGTGTGAATTAAAAATTGGCGGCAGTATATAAACTGGGGTTTGCATGAGAATTAGAAATTTCTGGACTCGTGCCAGAGTAATAGTACCTCAGTACCATCTCGAACTTCCCCGAGCAGAAGATAAAAATCATGTTCCCAGTACCACTGTACCAGAAGTAACAGAACCCTAAAAATCTTCCTTTACGAGCAACGAAATCAGCACCCTTTTTTAATCGGAGACAAAAATGGATCCACAGACAGCGTTGGAGTTGGTTAAGCACGGAGCTACTCTTCTACTGCTGGACGTTCCCCAGTATACACTTATCGGCATTGATACTCAGGCACTACTCTGATGCTCTTTTAACTCTTTAATTGTTTTTATTTTTGTTCTTAATTTTTTTGGTAAATTGATGAGGAGTTCTTTACCTTTGAGACTCGAGTTGCTTGAATATGTTTTGCAGATGTTTTCTTCGGGTCCGAATTTCAAGGGCATTAAAATGATTCCTCCTGGTGTTCATTTTGTGTACTATAGCGCATCCAATAGGTGATTTTGTACTTGCCCTTCTTCTTTTAAACAGTTCTCATTTTTTCACTTCTTCGATTGACCTGAAGGATGAAGTTGATGTTCTTTTCCCAGTTTGCAGAAGCTGATATTCTTTTCCCCTGTTTGCAGAGAAGGCAATCAGTTCTCGCCGATTATTGGATTTTTTGTGGACGCTCAGCCCTCCCAGGTTTCGAGATAACTTGCTGTCTTTCATTCTTGTATCTTGTATGAATTATTGCTGGAGTATTCGGTTTTTAAAGTGCTGATAGGTTCGAGATATTGTTCTGGAATGTTGGTTTACCATAGTCTGTCTTCTTTTGGTGTTAAAGTGAACTGAATAGGGCTAATCTGTGTCATGTCCAAATAACATAATAACAGGTGATTGTTCGGAAATGGGACAAAAATGAAGAACGGCTCACCAAACTCTCAGAAGAAGAGGTATGTTGTTGAACCAAATGGATCGTTTCCTTCTTGGTGATTTATATGCATGGAAGTTGCCTGTCAGTGTGTTGTGACGTCTTGTAAATGTCCTCTACATTTGATTTACTAGTTAAAGCCTGTCGAAATTTTTAGGGGTACTCTTGCCTGCTACTCATCTAGGGAAGAGGACAATGTTCATGGGGGTACCATAAGTAGCTAATCTTATTGAAACCGATGAACTCTTTAGGCTCATTGTCTGTTAATTAACCGTATCCTGCTACAGGAAGAGAGATATGGTGATTCAGTGAAAAGAATGGAGTTTGACAGACAACTGGGACCTTATACCTTAAGCGCATATGGGGATTGGAAGCGATTATCTAACTACATCACAAAGGACACTATTGAACGCATTGGTAAGCATTGCAGCTTATTTGTACCTTCATCTGTCTATTTATGTGAATGCTGGTCTATTTAGAATGAAGGATATCACCAAGTAATGCATAGCGAGACATACTTGTTTGGTTATATAAGGTAGCTTGGTAGATGGTTCAGACACTTTGCATGTTTAAAGAGTTTAATCTTTACACTGGTCCATTGTTGTGCCCATTGTAGGGGTAATTCTGTGGCTCTTTTCTTCTTGTTAGGACCCTATGTTTGCTGAAACTATGTGCTCACATCTCACTTAATATGAGATCTTTCCTGCCTATGACACTTTCCCACCATCTTGCCTCCTTGGGCCACTCCTCCAGCCAAAGGTGGGGAAAAAATGGTGTAATGCAGTATCAAGATGTCATATTATCCTAGCACAAATTAATTACATGGAGGAAGAAGACTGGAAATTTTGGATCCCATAGTTAATCTTTATTCCCAGTGTTATTGGATATACAGATATTTGGGTAGGATCCGATTCATTTCATATAGTACATTTATGTAGATGATTGATGTTGGGTAGTCATAAGGCAAATTTAATTTAGAATTTCACTGATGTCATTTGCCTTCACTTACTGAAGACAATTCTACTCTCATACCAGGCATAGACATTTCTTCATAAATAAACTGTTATCTATAGTGTTTTTCTGCATTCAGTTTGTTGTTTCTGTCTTTAATTGTTTTTCTAAATTCACAGAACCAATTGGAGGGGAAATTACAGTTGCATGTGAAGTTGACATGATTGGAAACAGTCCCAAGACAGCAATGGAAAAAGCTTTAGCTGAGCAATTAAAGACCAGTAAGTTTTCAGAGCCAGGAGAAAATTCTCAAAGGAAGGGTTGTTACTACACACCAATTCCGCGCCTTATCAAGCACAAAGGAATTTGTGCGGAGGAGCTAACCAGTTTGAATCTTGACAAGGTGTTTCTTGAATCATTCTAGCATGAAACTTGCTGAATATCTTGATTCTTGAATATGCTATTAGGCTTACCGAGAAAATGGCTACTCTGTCTAAATAGACCCAGCTACTGGAGAGCTTATTGGTGCAAGATTATGGTGGTACAGAAGACTTGCTTCTAGCAGAGCTGCAATTTGCATTTATTGCATTTCTGGTATGATTAAATCAATCTTCGTCACTTTTCATTTGTTTATATCTTTTTAGATAATTGTAATGGCTAATGTAACCTATCAAGTTGACTTGTGAATATGCAGATGGGGCAGTCACTGGAAGCATTTATGCAATGGAAGCTCTTAGTTAGCCTCTTACTTGGTTGTACAGAAGCTGTAAGTGTTATGATGTGATAAATAAAAAACTAATACTTCTCTTGCTGGTGATAAGTACCCTTCTTTTTTTTTTTAAATCATATAATGAATTATCGAAGATCACAAGTGAATCATGTGCTAGAATAACTTTATTGTCCTTCAATTATGACAATGAAGTTCACCTTTGTCATTATGGGATCTTTTTACTTTAATTTGTATATTCTTGATATAAGGACATAATTCTCTCTGCATTTAAAATTTTCTCACTCCATCAGAACATTTTTTTGTTGCCATTATCTCTTGGTTGTTGTAGAATTATGCTGATTATTATCAATTTCTTTGCTACAAGACTATGAAAAATGATTTTGAACTTCAATCTTGCTAGAGTTTCTAATCATTTTGGATTTATTTGCTGCAGCCTCTACGGACGAGGAGTCAGCTTTTCACAACGGTAATGCTGTTAGTCATTTGATCCTCTTCATATATTATACTTGATTATTTGGTGGTTAAGGATGCATCACGAAACAGCTTGCTAAATCCTTGTCATAATGTTTGGGGTTTGACTACATGCCAAGGGAAATTTTGTTGAGAATATTAGTACTTTCAGCTATTGTTATATTGGTTTTCAATAATATATACTATGATATTTGTCAGTCAGACCACTTGTCGAGTGCATTCTTGTATATGCATGTTTTTCTTCATAGTTGTTATCCTTTTTCTTGCACACTGACGTGTTGCATGCTGTATAATTGCAGTTCATTAGAATCATCTATTATCAGTTGAAATATGGATTCCTAAAGGATCATCAGAATACTGCTATTGCAGAAAAAGGGGCTCTAGCCTTGTTGGATGAATCTTGGTTATCTGCTGATAGCTTTCTACACCACCTTTGCAAGGTTTGCTATCCATAGGCATAATTATTTAGGTCCAAGATAATGTGCAATGATCCTACTTCATATTTTGTTCCAAATCTATGCTTTTCAATATAGTTACTTGTTCTCCCATTGGCCAATTAAGAATTATGGTTTTCTAATCGTTTTCTTCAATTAAGAATTACTTCATTTCTTTTTTGGACTAGATGGTAATAATGCTTTGTAAGAATGAGTTTTAGAATGTTCAGGTTATAAGCATAATCTGTCTGGATATTCATGTTTAAGATAGCAAGTTTGAGCAAGTTGGCTGTCTAATTGCTTGTTTAGTGGTTGACTGCAATAATTTTCTCAACCTTGTGACTTATAATACGCTGACAAACTTTAGTGCTATAGTCAGTTTACCTGAATACTTGTCAGAATGTACATGATATGATAGAATGGGATTTCCTATCATAACTCCATCACCACACACCGAAGACTAACTGCACTGTGACCATTATGCATGTATTACTGATTATTAGCTAGACTGCTCCAAAATAGTGAACTTGGTCGTCACTGGATGATTATTTGTATTCACAGTCTGAATTTGATGCAGGATTTCTTTTCATTAGTCCTAGAAGCTCAGGTGGTGGATGGAGAACTTTTGTCTTGGGTACGTGTTTTAGACCATAGTTACTGCTACCTACGCATTAACAAATAATTCCTGTATGCTCTTTTCGTTGTAGAAACTGCTTTTTTTCATTTCCACTGGGAATATGAATAAATATACATGATGAATCTGCACCATAGTGGTTTTCAAGTGAATGGCTTGCTGAAAACTGAGAAATAACAGAGAGTTAAAATGAGCGGTTGAATAGCTGCTGAATAAAAAAATTAGTGTACTAAAGTATGGATTTGAAGACCAAAAGGGAAGGAAAATGCAGTGCTAAGTAACCTTATCTTGATGACGCTAGTAAAGAAAAAACAGACTTGTTCTTAGAGCCATTGGTTAATGCATGGTTAAAGGTAGATATGCCCTATAGTACGAGAACTATTGAGTCTAAGGTATTATGTGCTAACCGATTGATTTTGTTAACAACAAAGACCGTGTTTTGCAGTCTCAATTATTCTTATGTATAAGTAATGGGGCCAATATGCAATATATGGATGAAGGATTATTAGTAACGTAAATTGTTTGTAGAAATATATGCATGGTCTCCTTAGTGCTTATCACCTCTTGAATATTAGAAAGAACATATTGGCTTTTTGTAGTGTAAGATGTTGAAAGTTTCAGATGTGAGCTTTATTCTCATGCCTTTCAGTAATTGCTGGAGTTCTTTTTGGTGTAGTGCTATTACATTTCACCCTATATGGACATATATTTAATCTGTCACCATTTTGGAAACAATGAAAAAGTTGTTTGTTTGCAAACTCAAGCCAAGTTGATACTTAGTTCTGCCTTTTTGTGAATTCTTAGACTAGAAAACTGAAAGAGCTGCTGGAGGATTCTCTGGGGTGGAACTTCCGGCAAAATAGTGCTGTTGATGGGATGTACTTTGAGGATGATGACGAGGTTTGCATGATAGGACTACAGCATACTACTAGTAGTTATGTTCTATTACGAAAGAAACAGAGACAGACAATTTATTCTTTCATAATCTTTACTGAACATGTTTTTCAACTTCACAGTTTGCTCCGGTGGTTGAGATGTTAGATGAGTCATTTAATGATGGTGCCCCGGTTTCATAGAAGCGAGCCGAAACGTGCATCACTTTAGCATCTGGAATCACTCAAAAAGACTTTAAGCTTGCTTGCAGGAAAGCATCGAGTGAGCCCTTGTTTCAGTTTGTGCCTTTAGTTTTCACTGACAAAATGTGGTTTTGAAACGCTTTAACATCATGCTATACTTTTGCACATAACCATCTCAATGTACATTCTTCTTTTGTAGCTAGACTCTCCAAATCTGCCTAGGCTGGTACTCCGAAGCGTTGATCTGATTTTTGAGTTTCAGCGATGTTTTCATGTCAAGTCTTTTCTGTACTACTCATATTTATCATGCTTAACTTACACTGCGTGTACAGTAATTTCATGAATCGTCCAGTGCTGTAATTTTTCTCGATTATTCCCATCTCAGTTTCTTTAGCTAGCTGCGGGACATGTCAGGTTCTAAGAAGCCAAAATGTCTCAAGATCAAGTCTGAAAATTTCTCTAGTAATAGGAAACTAAAGAGGAACCTTGACTTCGGATGTTTTCCTGGTAACTCGTTTGTATGTAAACAAATATTTACAGACTTGGCTCCCTCAGAAATTGGACTACTCTCGATAAACAGGGAGTAATAGGCAGAAATTGTTTTTATCATGCTTTGAACTATGAAATAAAAAAGGGAGATAACTAGTTCAACAAAAATTAAGGACAGGATACAATCTACAGGTATATGCTTTAGAGACTTTCCCAAAACTTTTGCTCCACAGTAATTGAAAATGTTTGAAAATTACTTTCACTTTCTTGGTTGGGGCTTCACGGTATCCAAACCGGAATGCAGTTAAAATTCCATGCCACTCCTTGCAGGTATATGATTTATGCTTGTGCCAGTTGGAACTTGTAATTGCGAGAAATGACAGTTTTAAAGAGCTATGAGACTTGACCGATTAAACTAGGAATAACTATTAGATTCGAAGTTCGATTTGGTTACATCCGTTTATGCGATCTTCGACTAATTATCATCTAACAAATGTTCATAAGAAAATCCAGAGAGTAAATTTGCAATAAGCCAACATACAAGAGATAGCTCAAAAAAAAAAAAAAAAAGGGATCAGCAAGCAATAAAACGACAAAAAGGCAAAAAAGGTCCGAAAGACCTCCGTCGCGGCAGAATGCTAAGGACACTCTGGGGAATGAGTGTACGCATCTGATTTGGCAGCGCCGGTCGGAATTCCGAAATGGTATTAGCCCAAATAAAAATGGCCCGGCGTCCCTATTCCCGCCTTTTATTTCTTCCTTGCCACTTCAATATCACACCGCAAGCGCCCTTACGGTCGCCATTTCTCGCAGCCTTGCAGTCTATTCCTGCCAACTCCGGTTCACTTGTCGTTAACTTTGGCTGTCGTTGCCCCATGCCGCACTTCCAGAAGCAAGGTCACCTTATACCTACCCCCTATTTGTGAAAATTTCCCACAGAAAGCTACCACTAGTAGTGCCTCTCAGGATGACCAATTTCTAAGTTGAACTTTTTTTTTTTGTTGGCCCTAAATTTTCTTGTTTTTCCTGGCAGCAGCAAGATCGTATGCTCGTGGGAGGCGTTCAGATTACGATTTATTTGGCGGTAAAGTTCCGGGGTCCAAGGAATTTCGAAAAACTTGGGCAAAACAAATGAACGACGAAGAGGATTGCCTGTGGACAGCAAGCGAAGATGACGAAAGCGATAAGGAAGATGATCATAGCCGTCTGAAAAAAGACATCAAGAAGGCTAAGCAACGAGCGAAGGAGCATTCTGATCGTATTGATGCTGATGACAGTGATGAACTGTGGAGCGTGTGGTCCGGAAGTGATGAGGAGAAGACACTTTGGACTGGTAGTGAAGAGGACGATGACGATGATATTCCGACAGAGCCTTACCCGAATGAGAGGAGTGATCAGTATATAGATAGGTTGTTTGAGTTCGAGGAGAAACCGAAATATCGTACACTGTCCGAGGCATTGAAAGATGAGGAAGGACCTGAAGAGTTATCACCTGGAAAACAAGCCAGGAAACTTGCTCTTCAGAATGCATTGAAGAAGCTGAAGAAAGGGCCAGATGGGAGGTACACTAATGTTTGGGAGGTGATGAGTGATTTGGACGTTTTGATAGCAGCATTCGAGAACATTGTTTCAGGACCAGAATACGAGGAACTTAGGCAAGGGGGGCCGAAGAAATTGAATATGGAGTTTTTCAAGGATATTCAAGCTAAAATGAGGGATCCAAACTACAAGTTTTCGCCGGAGTTGAAGTTGAAACCAAAGAGCAAGTTTGTTCCGAGAAAGAGATGGCAGAAGGCGCAATCTAGACGTAGGAAAGCACAGAAGCGCTAGTTAATTGTTGCCTTCATTTTACCACCACATTATGTAAATTCTTGGGAAATTCTTTTTTTCATGCATCTTAGTGCCTTTACCTATCTTGATCTAAATACTGTTCCATATCCAGGGATGCTCATTGTTGTCCCGAGTCATATTAACAAACTTTTAATATTTGTACTACTCAACTGCACTATTTATGTTTGGAAAAAAAAATTTTCCTATTAATTCAGGACAAGATAGATTATTTAGTTCATCAGTGTTAAAGTTCGAATTGTGAATAATGTACTATCGTGCCTTATAGATGACTTTGATTCTCAATTCTTACTAGTTTACCGGGATAAATATAAATGTAAATGACGTAACATCTGAAACATTTTCTGCCTGGCTCTCTCTTAGGTTACAATAGAATAGGATTATATAAATAAGGTGAGGATGAAAAAAAAAAAACTAAAGATGCTAAATGACACAACTTTCAGTGACATAATAGATGTTTTGCTCAATCGCAAAGTCACTTCTTCCAACAGTAGTGAGTGATGAGCGCACTTAAACAACAAAAGTTCATAAAATGATATTTATCCTAGAGCTAGTAATAATTCCAGGAATATGGAGTAAGAGTGGGTGATACAGGATTCAAAGTTCCCTGAGTCTGATGCAGGTAAGTGATATCATTCATCATTGGATTGTAGTTGGCATGCATATCTGGGATGGCATTGTTCATTATCACTGGAGTTGGAAGCTTGTAGTGGTACTGCTGCATGTTATTTCTCATCATGAATGGTGAATAATAATGGTCATAAGCGGGGAGTGATTGCAAGTGTTGGAGTCCAGGGTATCCTCTATCTTCATAGCCAGCAAAAGCACCTGCATACTTGCTAGAATCTGGAAAATCCGTGGGCCTCGGTTTTCCTCCTAGGCTCTGTACATCAGGTACTACATCTCCGTTCCAAGCAAGAGGTGCATTATTCCCCACTGCCAGTGCCCTATTGTTGTTCTCACCCATTAAAGATTTGATTCCAGCATTCTCGTCTAAATACCTCTCAAGAGCCCAATCATCAATTCCCCTGTCATACACAGAGGCCAACTTGGGCTGGATATTGGAGGCACTAACACCATCTGGAAGGTAAGCACCATCTGGAGGCCAATTGGATAATTCTTGGAGACTTTGGAACTGCCTAGTCCTTGGTCTCCAAAGCTCAGCATGTTTTCCAGCTTTCATCAACTTCCTGATTAATGTTGCACAATCCACAGTTCCTGATACCTTGACCTTCTGCTCTTCACAATCTATGCTCACTACGTAAACTCCTGAATTTAAGACCCAAAACAACAATAAACAAGAAGTTGAAATACCCACAGAACTATTAGCATAAGCATTGTCACATAGGAGGAGTGTTAGTTGCCTAGAACTTGAAACAGGGTAGGAAGAGATTCTGGAAAAATACAATATAAATTTTTGTGTAGTGCAGTATAGTTACAGGAATAGGAGACTTATATTCATGAAGAGCCAAAGAATTGGGAGCTAAAACTAACAGATCAGCGATGAAGAAACTGGTATCAGATCAGAAATACAGGGTCCTGTCAACCATATTTTGCAAATGACGAAGTTCTAAAACATTTTCCAACACTCAGTAACTAGATATAAACTCTGATTAGTACGGTTGATGCTCTAGCCTTGTGGTACAACCTGGAATAAGTAAAAGGAGAAGGCAGGATCCAATCCATTCATATAGAAGAAAGCTTACAGACAAGAAAACAGCAATCTTTAAAAGAATAGTAGTCTAATGCAGTTCTGATTTTGGATAGAGGATTATGGACTACACATAACATAAGATTCCACTGATAGCACCAACTACTCGAAATAGCCATGGGTTGTAAAGTTCATCGTTACAGGAAACAGAGGAGAAAAAAAAACAGTTTCTTTTTTCACTTTTTTGTCTTTTTTAACAGGTGGTTGTTCTTCCTCCTGTTATTTTTTTACTTAGTTATTTATTCTTACCCCAAATAAAAAAAAAAAAAAGGAACTGGAACAAGAAAACGGGCAATCTTCTACTGCTCCAATAATCTTTCCCATTTTTACGTTTCGGCATTTGAGCAGGTAGGTGTTCTTCTATTTTCTTTTATTTATTTATCAATTGTTACAAAGAAAATTTCAGTAGATGCATAGATGAAGAGGGAAATGTGTAATGCAGTTAATAACCTAGGAGTGGAAGTTGATACCTTCAATCCTCTTGAGAAGTTTCTTCACCTTCCGGGCGCAACCATCGCAGTGAATCTGAACTTTAAGAACATGCGTCTGCAAAACAACAAATATGAAAGAATTTACTTAGTAACCAAAAAGAAGACTGCAGACGATAAGTTCTAGTTAGCAAGAGAAATCCGAAGGGGAAAGAAAGCAATGATCAAGTGAAGAAGCCGTTTTGAAAGTATAGTCACCATTATTTTAACCAGCTGAAATTCCTCATTCCTAGACATATTGATCATTAGTTGTAGGTAGTCTGTTTGTCTTGATATGGAAAAAGAAGTTGGAAGTTATAAAGCCTGATGCTTCCTGCTTTTGGGATTCTTGCTTGAAAAGCTAGACCTCAGACCATATGTATGATACAAAGGGATGTTTCTGGTTTCCAGTTCCAGCCAGTACCTACCATGCAAAACCATCAAGTCATCATGTAGACTTTAAATACAACCACAGCTAGCTTCCTTTCTTTTCGAGTGCCAGTGTGTGTGTGTGTGTGTGAAAGAGAGAACCAAAGACTGGTTAAAAAGTTGTGATTTGACCGGCTGTAGCCTCTCTGCGTACGTACTTATATGGTCATGACTCCTATCCTGTAGACAGTTCAGTGTCTAGCAGGCACAGGCGTATCTCATGTTTCAGTTCACCTCTGCTGCAATTTTGTTGAGGCAGCAGCACGGTGAGGACTGAGCCACTTGGTTCCATCTTTAGGGTATATTGGTTCTTCTCAGAAGTATCATCAGATCACAACAATATGCAATTTCTATTCAGCCTAAATAAATACTAAATGTTCTTTACATTACATTAGCTTTTAGGGTATAGGAGCAGAGGTAGAAAATCATCAAGAATTTTTGAACCTTGTTTGGATTGCAATTTTTCATCCAAAAACTTTTGCGTTTTTGTGAATACATTTTTCAAACGTTTTTCTGTTTCACATATATCAAATAGTTATAGTCTATTTTGCTATTAAAACTCCAAAAATTAGCAATTTAAATGGGTTATTGTCA